AGGGATGGATTTAGGGATGGATTTAGGGATGGATTTAGGGCAGGGAATGGGAAAGGGACAGGGACAGGGGGTGTTGGGATAAGGCAGGGTTGGATTTAGGGATGGATTTAGGGTTGGATTTAGGGCAGGATGAGATCCCGGAGAATGGGAACAGGGCAGGGAGTGATTGGACAGGGCAGGGTCATCCCCAGGGTGTTGGAGACACCGGGGCACTGGGATTGGGGGATTTGGGGTGGGGAGGAGAAAGGATGGATGCAGGGATGGATTTAGGGATGGATTTAGGGCAGGATGAGATCCCAGAGAATGGGAATGGGACAGGGCAGGGGGTGTTGGGACAGGAAAAGTGTCACTGTCACCCCCGGGGTGTTTGGGACACCAGGACACTGGCATTGGGGGATTTGGGGTGAGGAGGAGAAAGGATGGATGCAGGGATGGATTTAGGGATGGATTTAGGGCAGGATGAGATCCCAGAGAATGGGAACAGAGCAGGGACAGTTGGGACAGGGCAGAGTCACCCCTGGGGTGTTGGGGACAGCAGGACACTGGGATTTGGGGGATTTGGGGACAGGAGGAGAAAGAATGGCTGCAGGGATGGATTTAGGGATGGATTTAGGGCAGGGTGAGATCCCAGAGAACAGGAACAGGACAGGGACAGGGGGTGTTGGGACAGGGCAGGATGGATTTTGGGTTGGATTTAGGGCAGGGAATGGGAAAGGGACAGGGACGGGCTGTTGGGACAGGGCAGGGATGCATTCTGTGTTGGATTTAGGGCAGGGAATGGGAAAGGGACAGGGACGGGGTGTTGGGATAGGGCAGGGATGGATTTAGGGTTGGATTTAGGGTTGGATTTAAGGCAGGGTGAGATCCCGGAGAACAGGAATGGGACAGGGACAGGGACAGGGACAGGGACAGGGACAGGGACAGGGATGGGACAGGGACAGGGACAGGGACAGGGACAGGGACAGGGGGTGTTGGGACAGGGCAGGGATGGATTTAGGGTTGGATTTAGGGATGGATTTAGGGTTGGATTTAGGGTTGGATTTAGGGCAGGATAAGATCCCAGAGAATGGGAACAACCCTGGGCCCCACATCCCTGCCCTCCCCTATGGATCCACCCCGAGCTGGAATCACCCCAAACCCATATCAAGGTCTCCAAAACCCACAACCTTGAGGGTGGGGAGCCCCAAAATCCCCTTTCCTCACCCCAAAACCACCCCCACGCGGGCTCAGAGCTGCGTGCCGAGGGATGGCAGCGGGAAATGTTTTACTCCATGCCCGGGAGGCTCTGCCAGGGCTCTTTGTGCTCCAACAACAACAACCCAGCAATTCCCCAGCAATTAAACAGTTCAGGATTAATTAAATCTCCCAATTAATGTCTCGTTTAAATGGCGATGATGTCTGTTATCCTTTCATATTGATTGCTTTATTTTTTTCCCCTTTTTTCCCCTCGTCTTTAAATAGTTTTTGTTGTCCCTTTTGCACACCCAGGGAGGTGTTGGTTCCCTCTGCTGGATTTGCCAAACTTCAACAAGTGCCTGGAAAATCCAGGCTTGGATTTTTGGGGTTTTTATTGATCAGCAATTCTGGGGGTGGCCACAAATTTGGGGATATTTGCGGATATTTCTGATTATTTGCGGGTATCTGGAGATGTTTGTGGATATTTGTAGATATTTGTGATTATTTGCTGGTGTCTGGAGGCATTTGTGGATATTAGTTGGATATTTGGGAATATTGGTGGATATCTGGGGATATTTGTGGATTGTTGTAGATATTTGGGGATATCTGCGGGTATTTGTGGATGTCTGGGGTTATTTGTGAATATTTGGGGATATTTGTGGTTATTTGTGGATATTTGGGTATATTTGTAGATATTTGGGGATATTTGCAGGTATTTGACAGATATTTTTGGATATTTGCAGATATTTGTGAATATTTGGGGATATCTGGAGATGTTTGGGGATATTTGTGGTTATTTGTGGGTATTTGGGGATATTTGTTGGATATTTGGGGACATTTGTGGTTATTTGCAGATATCTGGAAAAATTTGTGGGTATTTGTCAGATATTTGCAGATATTTGCAGATATTTGTAGATATTTGTAGATATTTGTGGATATTTGGGGGTATCTGGAGATATTTGTTGGATATCTGTGGATATTTGCAGATATTTTTGGATATTTGTGGATATTTTTGGATATTTGTGGATATTTTTGGATATTTGCGAATATTTGTGGGTATTTGCAGATATTTGCAGATATTTGGGATACTTGTTGGATATATGTTGGGTATTTGTAGATATTTGCAGATATTTGTGGATATTTGTCAGATATTTGCAGATATTTGTGGATATTTGTGGATATTTGCGAATATTTGTGGATATTTGCAGATATTTGCGGATCTTTGCTGATATTTGTGGATTTTTTTTATATTTTCAGATATTTGTGGATATTTGTCAGATATTTGTCAGATATTTGTGGATATTTGTGGATATTTGTGGATATTTGTGGATATTTGTCAGATATTTGGGGATATTTGTGGATATTTGTGGATATTTTTGGATATTTGCGAATATTTGTGGATATTTGTGGATATTTTTGGATATTTGCAGATATTTGTAGATATTTGTGGATTTTTTTTATATTTGCAGATATTTGTGGATATTTGTGGATTTTTTTTATATTTGCAGATATTTGTGAATATTTGTCAGATATTTGTGGATATTTGTGGATATTTGTGGAGCATCCTTGGAACTTGGGTGGAGCATCCTGGATTTGGGGTGGAGCACTCTTGGAATTGGGGTGGAGGATGCTTGGAATTGGGCTGGAGCCCCTGGAATTGGGATGGAGCTTCTGGAATTGGGGTGGAGGATGCTCGGAATTGGGATGGAGTCCCTGGAATTGGGATGGAGCCCCTGGAATTGGGGTGGAGGATGCTCGGAATTGGGATGGAGCCCCTGGATTTGGGCTGGAGCCCCTGGAATTGGGGTGGAGGATGCTCGGAATTGGGATGGAGCCCCTGGATTTGGGCTGGAGCCCCCCAGAAGGGGCCCATCCCCACCTTCAGTCACAGGGAGGAATTTTTGGGGCTCTCCCAGGGGTTCCACACTCGATGTCCTCCGTGTCTCCCTCCCATCCCGGGACATTCCACGATCCCACCACCCACACCAACCTCTCCATCCCGGCCCCGAATCCCGAGGGAAACAGGGAACAACCTCACCACCCCTCCCTGTCCCCCCCTGACCTGTCCCTGTCCCCTGTCCCGTTGCAGACCAGAAGCTCCCGGCACTCCCAGGGCTCCCAGCCTGGCCTGGCCGACCAAGCCAAGCTCTCCTTCGCCTCGGCCGAATCCCTGGAGACCATGTCGGAGGCGGAGCTGCCGCTGGCCTTCAACAGGATGAACCGGTTCCGGCAGAGCCTGCCCCTGTCCCGCTCGGCCAGCCAGACCAAGCTTCGATCCCCAGGTACCTCCAGAGGTCCCAAAATCTCACAGTGGATGGTGGGGTTGGTCTCCATCCACCCAAAATTCCAGACCAAGCTGCAATCCCTAGGAACCCTCAAAGATCACAAAATCTCCATGGTGGATGGTGAGGTTGGTCTCCATCCACCCAAAATTCCAGACCAAGCTTCGATCCCCAGGTACACTCTGGAGACCCCAAAATCTCTGGTGGGGTTGGTCTCCATCCACCCAAAATTCCAGACCCAGCTGCGATCCCTAGGAACGCTCAGAGATCCCAAAATGTGGTGGATGGTGGGGTTGGTCTCCATCCACCCAAAATTCCAGACCAAGCTTCGATCCCCAGGTACCTCCAGAGGTCCCAAAATCTCTGTGGTGGATGGTGAGGTTGGGCTCCATCCACCCAAAATTCCAGACCCAGCTGCGATCCCTAGGAACCCTCAGAGATCACAAAATGTGGTGGATGGTGAGGTTGGTCTCCATCCACCCAAAGTTCCAGACCCAACTGTGCTCCCCAAGTACCCCTGGAGGTCCCAAAACCTCCACGGTGAATGTTGGGGTGGAGCTCCCCAAAAAAACCTTTTTTTGAGTGCCCCAAAACCTTCCACCTTCACCAGGGCACTGTTGGGTGACCAGAGCTCCCCAAAACCCTTTTTTTTGGGTGCCCTGGAGTCCTCTAGCAACACCTCCCTTCACCAGGGTGAGACTGGGTGGCCAAAGCTCCCTAAAAACCGTTTTTTGGGTGCCCCAAACCCTTCCACCTTCATCAAGGTGAGACTGGGTGGCCAGAGCTCCCCAAAACCCTTTTTTTGGGTGCTCCAAAACCCCACCAGGGCCCTGTTGGGTGGCCAGAGCCCCAAAACCTTTTTTTGGGTGCTCCAAAACCCCACCAGGACCTTTTGGGTGGCCAGAGCCCCAAAACCATTTTTGACTGC